AAAATATAGTAACAATATAGTATATTCTACTAAGGTATAAAACATTTATTGATTATAAACGAGTAAATATGTTATCTACAGTATAGAGGTAGAAAATGACCTCATCGTGAAACCAACATGCGATAGATGATTTCATACTATGCACCTACCATATATACTTATATCTATATCATACATACACTATGAATAAATAAATAATGAATCGTCATGTGAAAGTAAACATGCTATGAATATTACTTGCTGATTGTAAGTCATTGTGGGAGTTATATACAATATATAATGTACACCACATCATGACAACAACTTTCAATGTCACAATCATGTCATCTATAAATTCCTATAAATTTTGAACCATTTTTGTCAATTCATCTGCGAGACAGCAAATCAAATGTCTCCAGCGTCTAATCAGATTGTATTCTCTGAGTGTCTCTATAAAAAATATATTTATATATATACTTGAATATCTTATCATGTACAATATAAATAACCTTTATATATAGAGGTCCAGACAATTTACTTCTACAAAATAATCTGTATAAACTATTTCACCCCCTTTTAAATAAACACAAAGTAATCATAAACAAACACCCACATTGTACCATTTTTATTTTCATTTGTTTCTTTAAATTGATTTCATTATAATCCCAATATAACAGTACAGTTCCACTGCATAAGTGCTGGTATAAAAATATTTTTTTGTCCTCGTTTTGTCTAAGAGAATTTTGCAGGATGACAATATAATTCAGACTAGTATGTCAACAGTTAAGCCCCGCAATTTGGTTAGTGTACATCTTTTAGTTGGATCATTTAACACTTACACAAAGACTTGTCATCACTGTAATTCCAGTTAAAAAACTATATGTTTATGTACGGATGTTACTTCAATGGAAGCCTACTCTTATATGATTCATAGATACGCAAAGATGCGAAGGTCTACCGCTGTGCGTGAGGCAGATAAGCGACGCTCGCTTATCAAACATTGCCGGCTTGATATCGCCGGCTGATAGTACATTAGCCGGCGATTGTGTCCGGAAATCGATATTACATAGACTTCGCCATCATTTCCTAGACAAAGAGTTATGTGATTGTTTTAAAGAGTACAGGTAGAATTATAACGAGTTTCAAAACATAATTTCAAAACTGTATTTTCATAACATTTCTTTACTAGCTGAAATATAATAATAACTTAATAAGTAGCCTATGTGTTCTTCCACACTAAGTTCTACATCTGTGCCAAAGTTCATCAAGATCCATACATCTAAACGATCGCAGTTATAATATTAGTAAGGTTTAGGCGGGTTTATCAAATCCAAAAAGCCTCATCACTATCAGTAGTTTATTCGTCCATAGTGTGATTCAAGATAGAGGCCGTACCCAAAGAACTCGTTCAGTTGTCCAAAGTGAACGAATGAATGAATGACGCGTGTAACAATGAGCCGTAGCTGTAGACAGCACGTGGCGAGTTCGTTCACTCGCGGCGGGTAATAACATAAACAGTGTACACGACGGTCACCACTTGCGCGGTGTAGCGTCACATTACTTAACAACCGAAACGATTTTCAAACATTTTTTACCACAAGAAGGTTACCAACATAACCTATAAAGAAAGGAATAAAAATTAAGTTTAAAATATTGTATTATTTAACGTTAAATCAGAACGAAAGTTATCATAACGATTTGAAAAGGGTTACGAGAACCTGCCTACACCGTCTGATAAGAGCGTGAACATGGGCCGGGTGCGAGCGACCGCGGTGTCGGATTTCATTCACGGCCGGACCCCCGCCCCCCGCGACTCACCGAGACCCCCCGCGCCAAGCAATGACCTGATGATGAACGACCCGCAACAAATAAATGTGGACTTGACACACTTTGACAACACATACGGGTTTAAATAGTATTGTTATAGTACTCAGGGATATTAGTGAAGAGATTTACATTACAAATTTCTACGGTTGTAGTCGTTGTCTATAGCTTTTTATGCATTTACGTATAAACATACTCAGGCTACTAAATAAAAATAAATTTATAACATGATTTAATTACAACAGTAGGTAAATAAATGTGTTAACCTCTGATGATCTATCGTAAACTAATCAACCAATAAAAACAAATAAAGACTAAATTTAAACCAGATAAGTACTTTATAACAAACCTACCCTTTCTTAGAAATTTGTCCCATACTTGTTTAAAAGTGTGTCAAATATTAATATTAAAAGAAAGTGGTCAAGTTCCGAACGTCTGTGGCCGCACGGGGGTCTATACCGCACACTTACGCACACTAAGAAACACACACGAGCGCTCGCAAACCGCCCGTGTGTAAGGGCCGTGAAGGGCATCGCTTACGGAAACCCTGTAGTTTCTCCAACTCGCCAAACACAAGCCACCTTTCATACAGGGAAGCCACAATACATTCATACATGTAATACATCTAGCTATCAACACTGAATGACCTTTGAAGGAAGTGCATGTAGATAAAAAAAAACATATGTGAAATAGCATTTTACATACATAAATGTAACAAGATTTTAATCTATCATTTAATAAATTTAAGGAATGTGTAGTAAAATATTGCTTCCATAAACAGTAATTCAAATATCTAGGTCACATTCTTTACTAATAAAAAATATATTACTTGATAAATACAATTTTTGCGAAACTAGATTGCAACGAAAAAAATTTTTTTTTTTGCAATCCACAATAATAAATACAAAGTCTTAATATTGAATAACACAATTAGTATTCAACGCAACTCACAACTATCACTGGCAATTCATACACCTGCTCAAATGCACATAAAAACACAAATTATATCGCCATTCGTGACTTGCTTACGTAATAATTACTCAACCGACTCATCAAACATATCTCATCATGCTAACAAACCTACAAGCAACACTCATCTACAATGCAATGACAATAAGAAACATAATAGCGTAAAGTTGTATCGATAATAAGTTACAACCTGCTTTAACATGGCTACATATAATTGGCTACAATGCAGTTTCACTTCCTTAGATCATAATGATAATATTATAAACAAATGTTTTGGACACAATATTTAAAAATAGTATGTAACAAAAATAAAAACCTTTTACCCCATTTTACTAAAATCTATTTAAGAAAAAATAATTCCTTACAAAAACACTTAAAACAAAATCTTGACCTTCTCTGGCCTTTAAAAAGGTCTTATTATCTTTATGCATAGAAAATTGTCTATATAAATGTTATAATCCATTGCATCCATTTATTTCTGCCATTTCATGATCTTGGAGGAAAGGTATTGTATTGTCAACCAATGGTCCTTCAATGTCAGCTGACAATTGATAATGACATTAAAATTATTTCAATTCCTTGAAAAACCTTGCATTCAGTAATATTCAAAAATACAATTACATATCATGTGAGTATGTATTCTAAGCATAGATCATTCTCTTTACATAAAATAGAAGGGATTGTTTCACAAAATAGAAAATTCCTAAAAATTTTCTAAAGCAATTCAAGAAATATGATGAGTACTTAGTCATCAAGTTACTATATTCTTGGTTAAAAATAATTAATTAATATTTAACTGTAATTATTATACTAATGGGAATATAACATTTATAGATGTCATGAAAAGTAAATAAAATGGTAGAATTATTTACTTTATAAATATAATAATAATCAACATGTTTTTGATTAACTTGAACTTAAAATTATTACATTGTAATTAAGCAATAATAACAATAACACTATTAGTTAATTAAAAAGACCAGAAAATCTGAAAGAATCTTACTAAAATGATATCTTTTTCATCATAATTGGATTAGTGGTTCAGTTTTTCCGGAGTCATCATGAAAATGACACATAATCTATATTTGTACAAAAATGTTACAATCAATCAAGCCAGTGAAAAGAGTCACAAAGAGTTCAGAAACATTATTTAGATATAAGGCAAGATTTGTTATCAATTTGACTAATTATTAAGACATTATAGAAGAACTAGAATACTGTTTGCAAATATAATATTTTAATGATGTAACATCTAAAGAGTTTTATTAAAAAAAGATTAAGAAATACTTCAAATATTCTTTATTGTCAAGCTTAAAAACAATAAACAATTATTTCATTTATATACCCAATGATTCATACTTTTACTTATTACTAATATTATAAATGCAAAAGTTTAGATAGATGGATGGATGCTTGAGAAATCTTCAAAAGGCTGAGTGGATCTAGATGATATTTGGTATACATATAGAACATTGTCTGGAAGAAAACATAGGCTACTAATTATATTTTTATTCAATCAAGGAGGGAGTCGTGGGCGACAGCTAGTATTAAATAAAGTACAAATAAATAATGTAATTTATGAGTAATAGTGAGCAATGCATCATACAGATTAATTGTTATATACCAGAGCTATGGATAACTTACTGAGATGTATATTATATTTGTATACAGCACAATAAAAGTGAAAATATTAAATAAATAAACTTATTGCGATTGACCTCCTTTTGTATAAAAACTCTGTTCAAAGCAATTCTAACCTGCTCTATTTTCTCTGTGGACATATTTTGGAGACTGTGTAAACAAATCATGGCATACAAGTATTATATTTTCTAATAAATTCTGATAATATTCACTAATGATATCCGTATCGGACAAGGGGCTCAGCCTACGCGACGATTCATTCACGATCTCAACTTCAAAAAAGGGTCAAAGTTTAATTAAGCTAGGCGGACTCTACGACGGGCAGTCTGACAAACAAATATTTCGCAATAGGCTGCCACCAAAACATTACGCGGCACACTTTCCATCGTGGATTGGGAGTGACACAACTCGACATACCATAGAAACCGACTCGTTCGCGCTCGACCGTAAAAACAGCTAAAACTAGCGCGACGATTGTAACTGTCAAAACTTTGGCAAATCAAAAGTATTTACAAGCATCAAACTATTCAAAACTTGTAAAAAGCAGTGGCACAAACGTAGAGATGACAATATAGCTCTACACTTACCGAGTTCAAGTAAACATAAATCCAAAACTGAAGTCAGAGCGAAGTTTTTCTTAAAAACAAGGTACAAAACACTAAACTAACACAACTCTTTCACTGTATTAGTATTAGCACGGGATTAACACTCATGTAAAGAGACCATACACTGCCACTGATCACTGCTATGATTACGACACTGCCACTTTAATGTTTATTTACAACGATGACCGCTCAACATTACGCATATTTCACGGGACGTCTGTCGCTGTCCAACGAGTTTCGGCCATTTTGCTCTTTCTCGAGTGACAGTGGGAGGAAAAGAGACAGGTACAGTTTAGGTAAATGGTAACAATTGCATCCTGTGTTACTATAAGTCATTTTAACAAAATATTTTTCAAAATATTAAATCATAAAATTTTGCAAATCATGTTTGTAATAAATTTATATTCATAAGCTACTTTTATTCATTTTATTAATTTAATATCCTAGGCGAACTTAGGGAAACCTCTAAAGTCTGTAATTGTCTATTCGTTAAAAGTTAAACTTCATTTTCATGTTGACGTTTCACTTAATTATCAACGTTTAAAAAGTCGGTTTATGTTGTAAATTGGAATTGAATGACGAGGAAATATATTGTATAAAAGTTATATTTATTTAATTAATTTACGATTTCTTAATTTAATAAAACTCATTATTTTTTTTAATCATCAAGGCGAACGCCATTTTGTTCTGTCAACGCAACATTGAAGATAGAATTCTTGAACGAAAAAGTGCCAAAACCCGCGGTTATTTTAAGTTCCGATTTAATCAGTTTATTATAAACACAAAACTTCCTAAAATGATAGACGATATTTGTATAAATACTCTTGTGTCTAATGTCGTAGCAGAGAATCGTTTTAGTCACTGCAGGTTATGTCTGTGTCTGATTCAAGACCAATACGTACGTTTCACCGATAAAGTATCACTGGATCCTGAAAACGATATATTTCAACCACTTAATGAAGTTCTTATAAAATTATTTGGTAACAATGTAAGTGCTGCCCATTAAAATATATTGAATATCAAGCCAAACTTTCATGATTTAACAATGTCATTGTTGTTATTTTAGGTTTGCGATGAAGTTCCAGGGATTGATGCGGTGTGCACGTCTTGTGTGGACAAAGTTCTGGAAACTGCAAGATTCATGAAGCTATGCGAAAAGTCGACTAACTTGATAAACAAAGTATTCAACAATCTCTCCAAGGCATTAAATGTGGACATCGGTTCAAAAAAGGAAAACCAAACTCTGTACATAGTTGTTGAAGAAAATAATTCACAATTACTTTGGATGAAAAAAGAAGAAAAGCGGAGGAAAAAGAAGTATATAGAAAATGAATATTTTGATTGTAACAACTGTAATAAAATATTTGGGAGTTGCTTGGAATTTAAAGCTCATAACCTAGCTGTACATGATATTTTCACATGTGACAAGTGTTATGACACTTTCCTAAGTGACAATGAGCTTACAATACATGAGAGTACAGTACACAGGTACCAATGCCCTGATTGTTCCCAGTGCTTGTCATCTGAGACTGAATTTAATGAACATCATGAAAAAATCCACAGCATTGTGGTATGCCCAGAGTGTGGTAAAATTTGCCATGGCACGGATAAATTAAGAATACATGAACAAAAACATAGTCAAAAATTTTCGTGTCCTAAATGTAGTAAAAAGTATACAACTAGAGATTTTTACACAAAACATGTTAAACTTTGTGTCAAAGGTCTTATAGACCCTCACCCGACAAGGAATACTAGAAAAGACTACTCATGTGAGAAATGTGCCAAAGCGTATGGCACTCCGGGTGGCTTAAGAGTACACAATAGGTTTGTCCACGGCAATGCCAAGCCTCATATTTGTCATGAATGTGGCAAACAGTTTACTGCTCCTAGCTATTTAAAAATTCATATGATTAAACATACAGGTGAAAAAAACTTTGTATGTGACTTATGTGGAGGCAGATTTGTCTCTAAGGAGGCTTTATTATATCATACAAGGAGACACACTGGGGAGAAACCCTACAGCTGTAAAATTTGCAATGAAAGGTTTGTCAATTCCTCCTCAAGAGCAGAGCACATAAAGTTTAAGCATATAGGACCTACTTTGATGTGTGATATTTGTCCGAGAAAGTTTGTAACTCTACATTTCTTAAAGCAACATATAAGCAGGCATCATGATCCAACCAGCAAACTTTACTATGGTAGGAACATGATTCCTCCAAACATGCCCGGTGAACAGAATATGAGAACTTTTAAAGTTAATGCACGAAAATGACCTGTGTTTGGCTCTTCAATGTCATGTATAATCTGAATTAATAAGATATGTTGGCTTGATTTATCATTCATTTAAATGAAGAATAAAAAATAAAAAAGGTTTTTCTGAAACACCCTCCTTAGTCCTCAAGTGACAGTTTTCATTGTAGAAATTAAGTAATTCAAAGTACACAGTTGAACCTGAATAGTCAGAGTACTCTGTCCTGTTATTTATGAAATATAAAACAAGAGGTTATGCAAAGTTAAGATAGATATATTTTGTAAATTATGTGTAAGAAATAAATATCTATAAGATAATAGTAATTTTATTTTAACTTGTTTATTGAAGAAACTTTATCATAATGTCGCATTTTGGTTAATAAGTAAAAATATTTGAGGAGGTTAGTTATGAATAAAAGATGTAATTGCTTGCATTTTTTACTATTAATTTGAAAGTACTGAATACTGTTGCCCTCTATCAGCAACATAAAGTTTACTGTGTGGATTGGAATGCCTTTGTACATGTTTGCGTAGTTGATGGCTTGTAATGAATTTAACATGGCAGACTGGACACTCCTCTGTTGGCCCAATGTGTTTCCGTCTCTTGTGCTCCATCCTTCTTGAAGCAGATAAAAAGCTTTCATCGCACATATCACATGGGAAAGGCCGCTCGCCCGTGTGGAGCCGAATGTGATAGGTTAACGCAGCTTGTGTGACAAATTTACCACCACATTGCTCGCAACTAAAATTTCTTTCTTTCGTATGCTTAACTATGTGATTCTTTAGTCTGCTCACAGCATCAAATTTTTTATTGCACCAATTACAAGTTAGGACTTTGCCAAAACCATGGTCAGTTTTTAAATGAGTCCGTAAACCATTCTTCCGTACATAACCTTTATTGCAAATATCACAAAAAAAGCTTGGCTGTTTTTCTTTGCCATTGCCACATGCATTGAGGTGAAATTTGTAAGTGTCCTTGTTAAGAAAGTGTTTGTTGCAGTGCGAACATGTGTTCAGTTTGTGCTTGTCCATGTGAGATCTTAAAGCTTTCTTTGAAGGATATTCAATATAACACTGGCTACAAATGGCTGGGATATGGTATGCACTGTCATGGATTTTTAGCATTTTCTCCGTGCTGAACATTTTTGTGCATTTCGTACATTGTATCCTCTTTGGATAATGAATCCTTTCAGCATGTTCTTCCAACTGAATCTGTGATGAAAATACTTTTGGACACTTCTTACATGGGTATTTAAATTTTGTGTGGAGTCTCATGTGTCTGACAAGGAGCAGATTGGAGCTGAACCTCTCACCACACTCTTCGCAAATGGAATCAATGACTGCATCTTTGACCTTTTCATACCTTTGCCTGCTTTTCATGATTTCTTTTATTTTAAGCAACACCACCTTTTTGTTTTTTGATCTAAATCTCTTTCTACTTGTAAACATTATGTTCTCACTTTTGTTTATGATGAAATAAATACTTTGAGCATTATTACCAATTCCGTCGTATTGTGTGACACTTTTACTAAATTGATCTAGTAATTCATGCCAACCATTATTTGAAAATATAACAAGTTTTTGAAATAGATAACAATTTATGGTGTTTTCAGCGCAGGACGGACATAAAACTTGTGGCAAAAGTGCTTCTGTAGAAACCTGTAATGCAACAGAAATTAATTTAATAAAACATACGTATAAAAGTAATTTACCGGACAGCCTCTGCACTAATATTAACAGATACTACTTTACAATATCACATAATACATGTTACTATTTATATAAATGTTTACAAAGAAATGTACTCACACCAAGTTCACGGAACATTGTAACAAAAGTAACTGTTTCATCGTAATAAGATCTCTGAACTCTCACACAATCTTCTATGGAAACTTCGTCCTTATCTGTTGTTGCAAAACATAACCTACAAATATGTTCGCACTCCCCGCTGACAAATCTCAATACAGATTTTGCAATTCGATCGTAGAAATGCATGGTTCAGTATTTTTTAAAAACTATGCATTATTATATCGAGATTGTTTTTGTTGTGCTCAATATAAAATAAAGTTTGTTATGATTATCACAAATGACAAGAGTGACAGTTACAGATGACAGCTCTTTGACAGCTAGGCTGAGTTAAGGAACTTTTTCACTTTCACTTTTCTTTCTTTCAAGTGATCACAAGTGTCATGTGCGAGGTCAAGTTAATCTCCCATTAACAGTTAAACACTATAGTTTAACCACACGGGTTCTAACCCCAATAATTAATGTTCATTTTAAACTAATTGATCCTATTTGTGAAGTTACTTCCTATCTATAGAACGGATATCTACTCAACTCAACCCATTTTATTTTAAATCTTGAGTAAATATAAACAATCTCTATTTTCAAAAGCTTAATTTAAAATGACTTAGGTGGTATTTGGGTGGTATCTTCTAATTTGGTGGTAATGTTAATTTACACTGCAGATAGACTATCTGTGGGCAAATGAATCATAACTCCAATCACAGAGCAACAGAGCCCAAATTGATTTTTAATAGTGTTTGTATTTGTAGTTTTGGACGTCGGTCGTCGTAAGCAAAACATAACAAGACACAGGTTGGTTAATTTATATTAATAAAAAATTTAACGTTGTCATTTTTTGCCTCTGTAATGTTTGATAATGCTGCAAAAACTTATAATAATTAAAGTGATTATTGTAAACACACATTCTGCTTTGCGTTAGTCCTGTAAAATTGTAAAACTATAAATTATTATAGCAGCATAAATTTTTTTTTTGTAAGTACATTAAACAACGTCTGATTGAGAACTGAACGTGCTTTAATAATAAAAAGTATCATTAGATGCAATCATGATCTAAAAATAATTACACATTTTATTTGAGTCTAAATTTTTAGAGGCGCTAGTGCCGGGTGCAACAAGTATAAAACGTATTTATCTACGTGTTTATGTTAAAAATGTAGTACACAAAACAAGTTGCTACTCAGTATATCTTAAGAGGAGTTTTTATCAGAAATTGGCTGAGAAAAGAGCAGTGAATGTGACATTGTAATTTGGCGGAGACATAACTTCTATGACCATATTAGTAACTCCAATTCAAAATATATTTTATTGTGTTAACGCAAGCAAAGTACCTATTATTAGAATTTTAATTTTTTAAAGTTATGTATTGATTTCAGATGTCGTCGGCAATACCAATAATTCTCAAGGGAAACAATCTCGGCGAAAGGCATCGCCATTTTAACTCTCTGGTCCTGGGTGCTCATCAGCAGGGCACATGTCTGACGTTAATTCGCGACACGGCCGACGCCTCACGTCTCGACACACTCTTTCAAATCGAGCTCGCGTCCAAACATCGTAACGTAGATTACATTTTAAAAACTCTTCAACATGAGGACATGCTGTTTGTTAGTAGAGCGCTAAAGTGTTGTACTTGGCTCCTGGAATCTAATTATCAAGATGTGATCAATCCTGAATATTTAGAAGGCGAGGTGTACCCGTACATGATGACGCCTGCTGTCAACAAAATGAAGCAGTGGCTACATGTCCATCTAAAGGACGCGCGGAGGTGCCGTCAATTCTACCAGTACTATAGCTGCCACTACCACATCAAGATCAAATTTCTCAAGCACTGCGCTCCGGACTTCATCGAAGGCGAACTCCTTAATATCATGGAGCGCGTCACCCCCAAGCAGCTCAAGGTTATTTGTGAATATTGTCCGCGAGCGATCAAACTGTACTATGACAACCTCAGCAAGAACCCTCAAGCATACACAGCTTTTTTTAAGAAAGAGAAGGAGTATTTCGAATGTACTCAATACATTTTGCACTCGGAATCGGCTTCTTATTTCGAAATCTTGGAAAAGTATTATAATTACGACAGTTTAGGCTCGCTGTCGCCGACCATCACAAAGTGCATCGTAAAGCGACACAAGCAAAGAGTCCTGCACAAGCCGGAGCTTTACGCGGCCTGGCTGCTCGACAAAACCACTTTGGCCAAACATCTCCGCGCGAACGAAAACAAACATATAGTCCTGAGGCTGGCGCGTGCAGAATACCTCAATAATTACTTCTCTTACAAATTTGTGGAACCTTTTATAAAAAGATTGAAATTTGACGAGAGAGCAGCTTTCAAAAAGAAAGTTTTCATTGATAAAAATGTAGGTAACAAAGTAGCGAAAAACCCCTATCCCAAATTCTCGTGGCCGGAACTCGAGGACACGGCCATCATCTTTGACGATAAGGAGCGCGATCCCGAAGACTTTAAATTCTTTGAAATTAAAAAATACACTCGTCGCATCAAAAAGAGAAAAGGCAACCATGTTCAATCGTCCGTCATGTACTCGGATTGTTGCAAGATGGACACATACCGGATTAGGACACCGCTCGACCAGCTTTTCGACAGATATCGATTCTTCAATTTCGAGCGAACGATGTTCGAGCTTCGGAAGAAAGTTGCCGCGGAGAGCTCCGTACAAAACCGACAGTTCATGATGCTCGTGCTGGTCAGCAAATGTGGAGACAATATGGAGCATGTGGGGAAACTGGTTCGCTTTCTGGTAGATCGGCACCACAATGAGTCTAGCAATTTGCGCGCGGCCGTCGTCCGCAGTTTAGTGAAGCGCGCGCGCGCCTGGCGCCTCCCTGCTGTCCCCTGGCGCTTGCTGCTCTACTTCGGGCGCGACTTGGGTCTCGATGGAGCTTCACCCTTGATTTGTAAAGAAGGTATGCACGCGTTAGTGCTGCGCACCTTGCTCTTGGGCAAGGAGTGCGTTTCGTGTCTCCGCGAGGCCTTCTTGAATAATTTCTCCTCTCTGACCGAGTACAAACTAAACGCGGTAGAAAAACGCATAATCGGGGTACGTTTGCCCGCGCTCCTACTGCAAGCTGCGACGGCCGACTCAGGTTCAGGTCTCGATCGGTTCCAACTTCTGCTCGATGTCCTATCATCACTAAATAAAAAGCTGTCGAAGTGTCCGGGCGTTGTGGAGGCCCTCACGGAAGCCGTGCGCTGCCATCCCTCCACTGCCGAGGGTCTGCTACGGCGCATGTACGAGGAGCGCGTAGCTCGCCGCGAACTGCTTTGCGAGAATTTCGCTTTATTTCAAACGAACGAATCATACGTGAACGTTCTGCGCCACGACGCGTTGCTTCTCAAATCAACGAAAGAATTTGAGGACTGCCTGAAAAAGCGCTCGTGTAATTACGACGGTTTTCTCAGGAAACTGGCTTTGTACTTCGGAGAGGATGGTGGACTGGCGGCGACGTATATCGCAGCGATCGTGAGAGTAATGGAGAGCGAGCCACACGTGGAACTTGCGCGACCCCTGGCTATGCTGCGGGCTGATCTCCGTCCCATCATTAGCGAATATATGAAAGAACCAAAGGGAAGTATTAAGAGGCGGCTCGCGTCGGCACTACAGGCTAATTTCCACCTTAGTGGCGTCGTAGACTTGGAAGCGACCCCGTGGCGAGCGCTCGGCGCTAAAGCGGTCGCGAACAGATTGTTGTCTTGCAAAGCTGTCGACGTCGACAAGTACATAGCGCGATCGCTGGAGTGGCGGCGTACGTTGAAAATCGCCCTACTCCTGGCGGAGCGTTGCGGTCGAGCTGCAGAAGTTTACAAGATAGTGGTCGGAGAGCGGGCCGGGGCCACGCTGCGCGCCGCACTCTCCTACTTAAAAAGAAACGAAAGTGACGACTTGAAGGCGGCCGTATGGCGCGCGGTGTCGCCGGCATTGGGGTCTCTGGATTTGACAGGGGAGCCGCGAAGCTTCCTGTGTCACGAGCTGCAGAACGCCGATTATGTGCCGGCGAACATACAGGCCGAGTACTGGGTCGCCGTGTTCGGCGCTCTACAGAAAGTATCACAAAAGAAGACGCTGCCCGTTCTGTGCAGACTCGAGAATATGCTTTCCGAAGTAAACAGTAATCTCGTTAAGAAGGTGATCGAAGACTTTCTCGGGGAGTTTAAGAGCGTGAGAAACGTATCGTCTTATAATTGGCACTTTCTCACATGGACTCTTATGAAAGTCCGCATCGTGGGCAAGTACCTGCTGCTCGGTGAGGGCGAGGAGCAAGCCGCCAGAATGGACGACGTGTGGGCGCCGTTCCGGGACTGCTTGACTGTTCTGGTACGGAGGGACGCTAAGGATTCGTCCCAATATTTGGATGAATTCGTTACCTCATTAAAATATAACAGAGCGTTCTTTGATCCGAGGCTTTCGTGCTGGCCCGTGCTCGAGAGGATCGTCGCAGATCTGCGGACATTTCTGCCGATGGAGGAGAATATCAAAACATTTGTGCTGCTGCACGCGACAATGTTGTATTACAAATCTATTCAGTATTGTGTTGAGCAGTTTCCGGAGAAATTCGAGAACGTGAGGTCGAAACAAATAGAGGGAGCGACTGCTGTGGGTAAACACTTCGGCAAATACGTTGGTAAAGAACTAGGACAACTGGTGTCTAGATATTTCGATTCCATTACGATATTATATCAAAAGAATTTGACGATATTCTTCAAAGATCAGTTTCCCCTCAACGAGAGCAGGAATAAATTTGTGAGCGCATTTATCGGAGGTCTGCTGGAGACGGGAGAGGTTGAGGCTCTGCTGCTGGCAGAGTACCTGCTGGACGAGGAGGGCGCGAACATATCGGAGCCAGAGAGAATGGATCTTGTAAACGTATTGAAAAGTTCACAAAATGATGAAGTGAAATTCTTTTTACACGGTTTTTTGTTTTCTGGCAAAGCAGATAAGGTTTGTTTCACTTGTCGATAATTTGATTATGTCCATAAATATATATTTTTGTTTACTTACATGTGTTTTATTTATTTTACTGTTGAAATCACTTTCTGACGTACTTTTTTACACAAATCGTTGACTTTTATCATGAGTATCCACATGCAAAACACGCGTACAAAAACACAATTTTTCACGTAGGTAAGGGCCGCGCACCTCCGATTGAGTAACAGATTTCTATAATATAATTCTGTAAAATTAGTGTACCTACATTTAATTTAAAAAAAATATAGATAACAGTGTTTGAAATGTCACAATAATGTAACCGGAGTGGTTATAGTTAGTGCACGCGCAACGCACCGTTAATGATAACATTTTTTCTTAGTTTCTTCGTATCAGTGAAATATCTATAGAGATTTTTTTTTAAATTAAATTGAAATAAAAACTCAATAGATGTTTGTAAAATTTTTATATTTTATATAAATATAACTTAGATCAAGCCATTCAGATAAACAAGAAAATAAACTATCATATCAATAATGTGACCAGTTTGACGCGACGTTACATCCTCACACAACACACACATATATACCTCACGATATATGTTTTACATAAACACATTACATGCATACACATTTATTAACTTAACTTGTTTAAGTGCGTTTCTGAACGCAAAACTCCCGTTTAAAAGATATTGTTAACTTTTGTCAAAAATAATGACGGTAACAATATGTTTTATACAGATTTATTCTCAGAAAACAACAGTTTGTTATAACAGTGAATATAACTACAAATTATAAGTATACAGTTAAAGAAATTAATTTGATTACCACATCGAATCTAATATCTTACAGCAAATTGTCACCATAAGAGATACAATGTACTTGTATAGTCAAACAAGGATTTCAGAATTGATGAGAGGCGCTGCTATCGTGTTCTGTCAGAATGACATCCAAAACAAAAGTGACATGACAGATGCAGTACAATCTTGTGACATTTATTGACGTTGAGATGAGGGGCGCTAGTGAGCTGTCATAGTTAAGTTTGACATAACTCACTATTCCAGATATTCTTGTCGTTCTATATGTATGTTGCTGTGACAAACTTATAACCTAATTGTATCGTAATAAATTACAATTTCATCAAAATGGATAGTAAATTAACGTCCTCGACTATATTAAATTTTTAATTCATGGTATATTTAATTATTTGTAAATAATTTTAGTAATATTGTCAATAAGTAAATCTAATACTGAATAATAAAAAAATCTTGAATATTGTATAGATATCGTTTCATGACAACATGTAAAGAAATAATTTTGGATTATACAAAAAATGGCGAGTGTTACTATTAAATACATACTGAAAATAATTTAAATATAAAACTCATGGTTCAATAAACTAAAATAATCCTAATAGTTTAAAAATTAACTAAAATAAGAAACACAAAAATATTGAAATGAAAAAAATGTCTACATATTTCATTGGTACAATTTAATTAGAAATCTATGTAATCATTTTATATATAAAATATATAGAAATAATTTATTTTAGTAGAAAACATCTCAATACAGAACTTCATTGTACTGACACTTATATACATATAGTCATCTCTTTCACTCTGTTTAACAAAACAGAGATGACTATACAATGAGGTACCTTGTAATAAATGTTCACATCAGTGGAATTCTACGTTAAACTGTATGTATGTATGTGTGTGTGTGAGAGAGTGTATGAGAGGAGAGGTGTTTGTATCGCGCAGGTCATCAATACATCATACAACTACATATATACAAGTGACTACTTCTCTTTGTTCAGAGCCTCGATGAATTCTTCTAACTTCTCCTGCACCTGTCTCACTCGCTCTGAAAATTATAATTAACAATGTTAAATGTATTCAAATAATTCACAGAATATATTGTTATCTTTAAGAAACACATTGAATATATACTCACTGAGTTCCTCAGCCAGCTCCACTCGTCTGCCGGACAACAGTTTCTGCTTCAGCTCTGGATCTCCCGCCATCTGACAATATCGTAGTCATCATCAATATACCTCGCAATAGTTTACAAATGTAATATACAATTGATAATAATCATTTTTATTTCATCAAATCGACTAAAAATATTTATTCGCAAAACTACGTCAACAGATGGCGCTGTTATGATTACTCCACACATTTGATTTTTAAACGTATTCAATGACTTTAGTATAAAAGCTGGATATTTGTCCAGTATGTGTGTGTGTTGTGCGCATTGTATACCTCGTCGAGTACTTCTCTGAGGTCCCTGTCGAGCCTGGCGGCCTCGCGGTTGCCGATCTGCTGACGCAGCGCATTGGCCGTCGTCCGCAATGTGGCCGACACGCGCCAGAACATCACCACCTCGCAGCACTCCTTCTGAAAATGACAGAAACACGTATATTTAACAAAACTGGACATCATCATCTTTGGTTTCCGTCCTCCAGTATCTATGCGTCATCTCAATCTCATCTACAAACTCTTGGTCTGTACTCTAAAACTTGTGGTCAGGAGGAAATATTGTCGGAGTATTTATATCTCATTGTACGTCGCTATAAATATAATAAAATTGTAGTAATATGAATAATACAGACCCCTGTGCCGTTCTGTTGACTGTATAAATAGAAGCTCTTCTTACAATCACGTGCTCGCGTCTGCGCACGCTCCAGGAAATGTCTGAAACATATTACAATATATAATAAATGGATAAATGGATGGATGTTTGTTATAAGATATCTTCGTAACATCCCGACGGATCTTGATGAAATTTGGGATAAATATAGAACACAGTCTGGAAGAATACATAGGCTACTAATTTAGTTTTTATTTAATTCAGAACAGACCGAGTCCCGTGCGACAGCTAGTATTTTATATAAATACAGATGAATTAATTTATTCAAATTACCAAAATACGCGGTAAAGCGCCCTCTTTTGTTAGAATCTATGAATACTCTGCTATCTATAAAAACTTCTAACGTTTACCAATGTTTTGAACCTTCATTAACATATTTATACCGTTATTATGTTATTTAAACTCACTTTAGATATACAGGTTTCCATGTCTCACGTATATAATCATTATCAACTTCAACACCGCGGCGACGCAGGTTGTCCCTCACAGCGACCACCTCGTCGTGCGCTAGAGTGGGCCGGCTCGAGCCCAACCGCTCCAGCTCCGCGCGCACCTCGCCGCGACGCTTCTGCTCTTCTGAAGTCGACTGCCAATACAGCCACTTCTCACGGAGACCAGGTCCTGGACACGGCATTTTATTTAGAATGACTGCTGATAGATGGCGCAGTTACAATAGTGTCTTTATCTCCACTAGATGGCGCTTTAACTAAATTGCCTAGAATGTCATTAAATCCCAATAGATGGCGCTGCTTTCAATTTAATTTATTTTAATTGAAACTATCAAAACTATTTCAAAATTTAATTCTCTTCAAATAATCTAAAAATAAACTAATTATTAATTTCTCCAAGGTAGATATTAGTTAAGGTAGATACTTTTCTTTACCTGAAGATTTGAAAATTGATATTGATATGTAAAATTGTGAAACCTGTAAGTGATTTCAATTCTTCATCGACAGCACTGAGCTTCTCCTTCAATGCTGTCTCCATGAGTGATACAGCAGCGTCCCAGTCTGCGCGCGATGCCACGCACCGGTCTTGTAGCGCGTTCAGCTGCAGCACGCGCAACACCTGCACCAAAACAATACTAGATATTATAGAATTTTATAAATCATACATGGATGTCGCCAGAGAGGGGCAAAGACAGGGCAGATATCAATTGCCTAGAGAAAAAAATACTTGAAAGAAAACCATATTAATGGTAGCTGCCGCCTAGGACTAGCCTCGGTCATCCGTCGGTAAGATAATTCATGAAATCATATAGGACTTTGATTGTAGTCTGGTTTATGAAAATATGTAACTCACGTCCTGCGCGCGCTCCTCCCATGTGTGCCGCCTAAGGGCCTCCTCCACCGCCTCTTTCTTGACGGGTTCATACACGGGGTCTGAGTCCTGCGCACGCGCCATTAGAGCGGAGAATTCCTCGCGCAGCGCCTCTCGCCCCGCCAACACTGACTGTGTGGGCAGCTCGCGCTCCGCCCACTCGCGCAACTTTATGTCCACCACGGTGTTGAACTTGTCTACAACATAGATGGCGCTTATTTATATAAGTGTTCAACTTGTCTGACCGATAGATGGCAGTTAATACATCATTGACTAGTGACGTCACTAAATCTCGTTTATTACATTTTATAACCCAATTACGTCTTTATGCGATCAAATTCGTTTAAGGGTGGTCCTTAGTGTGGGTTGAATATGTTGAATCCAGACTAAGGAACTTCCTTAGTGGCCAATTAATTACTGATGCACTAAAATATGAATACTTTTATTAGTAAAATGTCTTACTAAAGTCGAAATCGTACGGGTCGACTTCGGCGAGCATGACGTCACCGGCAGCTTTGTGTTTGTACTTCACCTGCATCACGGGGAGCGCTGGACAGGGAACAGGACAGACATGGGAAAGATATGGGGGTTACTATATAAAGTGAAAGGAGTCTTTGGCAGGGTATTGGAATTGGGATACTATCTAGTTATATTTAGTTTGTCTATGGATGAAATAATTTCTATCATGTATATATGTACGCACCGACGTCGTCATGCGCCTGCGCAGCTGCGGGCAGGTATATGCCTGCGAAGACGCGGTCCTTGGCGGCGGACCAGAGCGCGTCCTGCAGCCGGCGCTCCCAGGCGGCCGCCGCCACCGCCGACACCTCCGCAGACTGGTCCAGCAGCTCGGCGCGCGCACGCTCGAACAGCTCGTCCCGGTCCAGCTCGCGCTGTCTACACGTCGTTTGAATATGACCATGTTTCAAGTGAATTGATTCGACTCGTATTGTTACGTAGATTATGAGAGATACCTGGGGAATGTATTCTTCCACTCAGTCTCGAGGTTGAAGCGCATAGCTTTGAACGCGTCCGCCTGCTGCTCCACTGTTGCCCTCACCATGCGCCAGAAGCACTCCGCCACCGCCAGCGACAGGTTGCGCGTCGTCACCTGGGATGGTGTCACCAGGCCGTCCCTGTACAACACGGTTATATACACACCACTCTGACGTACGAGAGCAGACAGGGAATATGAATAGGCATGATTATGGAATTTATTTTTTAATATTAAAATATTATTTTTATTAGAATTATTCTAATGTTACGTATCTACAATAAACCATAGTGACCAATTGGGCACTCTTATTCTCTAAGTATTTATAATAATTGTAATTATTAACACTTACTTGAAGAGTTTGGATGATCGGAAGAACCTCTCCTCGTACTCTCGTATGCTCTGTATGGAATCGTCCTTGCGGCTGCGACCCGTCACCACCGCGTAGTAACCTAGGGCTTTCATCGGGAACAACTTGCCTTCTAGGATGCGACGGATCTACAACAAATGTACATGTTAACTCTGCCTACACCTTTTCACTAACAAAGTTAACCGCGCGTGTTATTTCCACTGGAGTGGTTGCGCAATAAATCACTCAGTGGAAAGAGGGTTTAACTGTGAGATATGGGAACTCACTCTGTTAGGGTTGGCGAGGTTCTCCTCAGCCAGGTCGACCTTGGTGAGGACGAATATGGTCCTCTTGCCCTGAGGGTCGCAGGAGGACACCAGGTCCGTCACATTGCTGCGCTCCGCGTCCACTGATCCATCCTGCAACGTATATACTATATAAGCTCGCATTTTTTTTTCAACACTAGTTGTCGCCTGCGACGCAGCCCGCGCCGAATTAAAAAGAACATAATAGCCTATGTGTTCTTGCAGTCACTATATGCTGTTCCCAATGAAGTGTTAAATGTTTAATTTACTTATTATACGTCGTTAATTTAGACTGTTTTATATTAATATGGAACCTGTATGCAGAGTATGATGGCATTGGGGTTGTCCATGTAGGTCCTCGTCATCTGCTTGATGGCGTCCCGCGTGTCCGCCGCCATGTCCACTGTCTGCGTCTGTTACACACACACACAATGAGAGATATGAAGAAGGAGAAGAGCAGAAGAGCAGAAGAGCAGGAGAGTGACAGTATGTGAGTGTGCACTGACAGAGATGACGCCGGGCAGGTCGACGAGCACCATGCGCGGCAGGCCGGGCCCGCGCACCGACATGGCGATCACGTCACTGGACACGGTGCGTCCGCCGCGCACACTGTTGCGCATGCGCAGCTCCACCTCCCTGCACAACACATTGCACACTAATATTAACACTAAATCTATCACCAATCATTAACATAAACCTTATTTTTGACACACTAATGTTTCAACTGTCAAACGAAAGAGGGCGCTATTTTTAAGGTAGTTTCAACGTCGTTCAGTAAAGGTATTTATATCACCGACTTTCGAAATTAAATAAATCTTTAAAAATATCGCAATACTAGTTTCTTCAGTTATGCAATAAATAAATGTGTACAAGGAAGTGCGACATACTTGCGTAAATCTGCCAGATCTGATTCCTTGTTGAGGTCAAACTCTCTGGAGGAGTCGCGGAACTGCGCCACGTGGTACGGACCCTCTGACAATGTCACTTTTACTGGAGCTCTAAAATAAATCACAATTCATTTTTAAATTGTCAATTAAAATTCAAAATAGATGTTTATATAAAGTATACCTAGTACACATCTCGCCCGCGCCCCTGGGGAATATCCTGGCCTGCGCGATCATCTCCAGCACTGAGGTCTTCCCTGCAGACTGGTCTCCCACCACCACGACACGCGGCAGTCTGCCGGCCTCGCCCGACTCCCAGCCTGACAGCTCGTCCAGCACCGCTGAGTACATGTCTATCAGAGACCGCTGCAACATGCATACACTGATTACTGCACTTCTTCACAAAACAAAATTCTTTCCGGCAAGTAATCAGTGTGCTTTACTGGATAAACATCAAAGATTGGATATACCGATCAGATTAGATATTCCTGAAGCTTCTTCAACTTCTTACCTTCAATTTCCTGGGAGGAGGCTGGCGGCCCTGCCGCAGCAGCATGTTCTGCTGGCGCAGCTCCCTGTTCTCCTGCTCCAGACGCTGCAGCTCTCGCTGGTAACGCGCCTGTAGCGCCAGCACCTCCTCCTGCAGCGCGTGCACTCGCTTCTCTGTATAAACACATGGAAATAACAACTACTTAACTACCACAAGTCGATTTCAAAATCCGCCTCCGGGTAAGGTCGTTTCTGAGATTAACGCGTACAACCTCACAGATATCACGACAAACAGAACAAAGTTGTACAACCTAGACAAAGACCTCCAGTGATAGTTTCCATATACAATTTGCATCTAAAACAGCTGCAGAATAATTAAAAATATATACCATAAGCTGCCGTGTCTTCAGCAGAGCCTCTCGCGGGTATGGAACTGGGCACAGGTCTGCTCTGCAGATTGTTCTGTATCTTCTGTGGTGCCGGCTCTATAACAATTTAATGATATTTGTTACTTTTATATATTACATAAGAATAAATTACGATAATACAACCAGATAATGTGATCAATAAATTATTTATTTGTCATCAGATTAGGGAATAACAAATAACATAATTATTATGAAAAATATTACATATTTATTAACATTAATTACTATTTTAACTATTGTTCATTTATCTGCACTAGCAAACAAAATAAAAGCATAAGAATAAATAATAACAAAATGCACAAAGCAAAACACAAAAAACTAAAACTATTGTACATTTAAATAGCGATATGAAAAACTATTAAAATAGAACAAAATAAATTTTAAAACAAACTCAAACGCTGTGCAATAGAATTGTAAGTAGACAGAAATAAAGAAACAAGTGAAACAAGCAAAGGTGTGTTATGTGACCACTTTCCATCAACATTCATAAACTCACTCAAGCAACTTACATACTGTACTGTATGTGGTATTTGTGTAGTGAATGTTCCTGGAGCAACATCACACAGTGTACTGACCGGTGTTGTTGGCAGCAGCTGCGGCGACCGCGTCCTCGTAGCGCTGCGCCAGCCAGGCCCGCAGCTCGGCCGCGCGCTCCACGCCCGCCTCGCGCAGCCTCGGATCTGCGGCCAGCGTCAGCGTCAGCGTCAGCTCGCGACCTAGCGCGCACACACCCTTACACCGTGCTTACACACACGCTAATCATCTATTACTACTATGACCATCTCTAACCTATAATTCCCATGTTAAACATTTCTAAGTTTGCCTTTGGGTTTAACAAATGCATCACATACATTCCACATAACGTAATTATCCACAATAAACAACAAATATTATAGTTTTTAAATTTTAGAAAAGAAATATATAGATTAAAAAGTGACCTCCAGCATAGCAGCTTATAAGTCTACAAAACTTCAGACATAGCATGACAAGATGAGAAATCTTGACATCATATTTTGCTGCTGAATTTTTATTCAGTCACCTAATGCCTGGTAAACATTCTGCTTTGCTCACATATTGAAATAATATATAAGAACGAAACAACATAGAGAAAAAAGATAAAAATAATAGAACAGAATACATTGAAAAATTGTGCAGTCGTAATTAACCAAATTATTAACATATAATATAATTAACTAAATATTTAACTACAACATGAAATAAACAACATATATATCTATTTTACAAACCAATACTATTTAACTAAACATAACAAAATAAGTCAATTTTACACCTTACCTATTTGAAATTGATCACTAATTCGATCTTTAGCATCGAGTAATGTCGTTGTAAATCGGTTCCATTGATCATTATCAGGAAGAAGATCATTCAACCAGCCCATATCGGGAAGACCATCTTTCCATTCTGAATATTTCTGAAAGGTAACACTCCAAATTTCTATTTTATACATACAAAAAAAATATATATGTAGCTCACGGGTTATGCACTTGAATTGTAATCTACTAGTCTTGGTTCAAACCAAATTGTAGTCAATTCATAATTGTCATCATCAGCTCACTATACGTCCCCACCGAGGGGCACGGAGCCTACCCTAAGTTGAGGGTGATTAGGCCATAGTCAACCACGCTGGCCAAGTGTGGGTTGGTTGACTTCACACATATCTTAATTCATAATTGTACATGGTGAATATTTAAAATTTCCTATATATGTTTGTTCGACATTGTTATAATGTAGGAATACATACATAGATTACAAATTGAAAAACTTTTAAAAGTAGTTAATATATTTAACCTTATTTAATGTCATCCCTCCACCCACTGCCCCTCCCAATACAAGGTATCTGATCTTCAGAACTCCTCGCACAGCTCTGGCAATCAGCATACCATACTTCCGTCTTGGAATATGAATTGGATCAATAGGTTTATACAACAGCATGCTCTTTCCAGTCCATATTGAGAAGGCAACAGCCCGTTTGTCAAAACATGACCAAGCTGTTGATTTTTTTAGGGATGATCTGTAATGAACCAAAGATTAGTTATTAAATTACATTAATATTAAGTTACAGGCATAGGGCACATATTCCAATTATGTTCCTCTACATTCTTACATCACTTAATAATTTATTTTGTATAATAAAAGAGTTGGATTTCAGAGACGATTGAGTCAAACCATGTTTACAGTATTTGGATACTAATATAGCCTCAAATTTCAAGTCTGTGTTGAATAGCGTTCTATTACTTCCATAAACAAATAAGGTATTTTATAGAATAAATATTTAATAGGATATTATGACCAATTTCTACTTAAAGTGAGTAAAGATCATCAACTCAAGGTTTACAAGATTTGTATTAAGATGAACATTTACCTGAGGCGATTATGTAGTATTCTCGACATTATGAATATTAAACTTTCTGTAGCTGTAAATACTTGATGGAGTAGTTATATCTTAAAACATAATAACCAATAGGTTTTATAAAATATTTTTATTTCATAACCTCCACCGGCGTAAACAAATAGAAATCACATAAATAGTTCTATAACTATTAATTATAAGCGAATGTATATGAATATGTTTTTATCGAAATATAGTTACACAATCAACTAAAGAATTAATGTAAGTCACTTCATATTTTGAAAATTTGACAGGTTTCGGGCTGCAAATACATAGGCCTTTTTCAATTTTGTGTGCAAACGTTTCGTTTTACCGTAAATTACCAAATGTCGGAATGAGTTTGAATGCTCACTATTTTGTAAAAAGCATATTTTCTCATTCATTTTACCATTAATATTAATGTTATTTCACTGTTACACTATTTTATACACCACAAAAGACAAAGCATTTGAAATCATTTAAATCTACCGTTTAACATTAGTGATTGAAAGGTTGAAACACACAAGAAGGAAATGGTAATATTATTATTTTAATATTAATGCAACACAGTTTGCTTTAAACGTCAAAAATGGACTGAGTGACTGAGGTTTTGTGTTTAACAAAATTCACGTAAAAAATATAAGAACGTAAATTAAATGGTATACAGTGGTGCTTTTAGAATTGTGTAAAAACAAACTTGTGCTAATTTACTGTGCTTTTAAACTTGAAGACATTGTTATAAAAATCGTTGATCTCTAATGCTACGGCTGTGAATTTTGCACTGTAAGTATCTTCGATATGTCCTAGGTTTTAAGTCAGGGATGGTCGCAGCTTGCTCAGCCTTAATTAATGTAGCGGTAAGCTGTAAAGCAGGAAGTCATGATATCACGGCCAGTTCTTTGAACTTGGTGTTCAATGATGTAATTTTTCAAGTGCATCTGGCTAGGGTTTCCTTTGATTGGTGGATGCTATTTTTAGTTCGAGTAGTACGCTCAAGTTGCAAGTACTGTTTGTTTGTTTTTCATACGCATTCTGTCTGGATGTTTATTCTTATCTTCAAATATATATTTTTAGTATTGGTAATTGTAGGTCCTGTGTCTTGTATATAATTTTATACTCTTGGATTTATTATACAAGCATATAATACATAGTAATATAACACATATGCTGTAGTGAAAATGTATTAAAAGTTATAATCACAGAAAACTAAAAATATTCTAAAACTGTTTACTACTTGTATAATTATTTTAAGAAAACCATATTTTTGTATTAAATGGAAGTCAAAATATATAGAAGTAGCTAATCGGAAGTTTGTAATCTCTGCCTACTCTAACCCTCTGTGTTAGACTTGTGTTGTTGTTGAGCCAAACTGATAACATTCAAGTGTATACATTATTGTGGACTCATTATTAAATATAATTTTATACAATAACTATTTGTATACCAATGGAATTTGGTCCATAATTTTTTTTTCTTGGATATTATTACCAAATAAAGTACGGATGGAAGGAGTTTTGTTATGAGTAAATTTAGATAAAAATGGCTGATAGAGATGTATTCATATGTAGTCAATATGTAGACAAAAAGGCAGAATGATTATTTTTATTGTATAGCAATGGTGTTAATGATTATAAAACAGTAAATTAAATATTTCTAAGGTTTATTTTAGTATATATTTTCTGTATAACATGGGTATGTTATAATAATACTTTCATTTGTAAAATCTTAAGCTTTACATAATTCAAATTACACGTCCATTGTTTACTTTAAAAGCAATCCTATTTAATATTCAGTAAAGTCCATTAGCATAGTGCTACAAGGCTTATCTACTTAGCCATAACTGAAGCTATGATGTCATCTTGTTTAAGTTATTTATATGTAAATAATACAGTATATTATAGCTCCTATGTACATAATCATAACCCAATAATCTTGTATTTTGAACATTGATTAATGTAAAGTAACTTAATTAATATTATTTGTGTTAATTAGAAAGTTCAATTGAGAAAATTAAGAATTCATATGGTACTGATTAAAATTATATTTATGTTAACATCAAACACTCTGTATAATCATTGAAACAGTTTAAACATTTACCTCATTTCCATCAAGTACTTTGACCTTAATAAGTTGAATTCAATTGCGACTTTTTAATGTAGGAAACATGCCATTACATTTTTTTATTACACACAATACTGGACTGCTCAGAATGACGCAAATTTATAAAAATGTTTCACATATTTGTGTTTAACTTAAGATTTTTGTCAGCACAATTTATTAGTTTATTAGTTAAATTGTTTGGTAAAAAGATTTTTCTGATGTTTCTTGTTTTATGTGTTATGCTTTTATTTTTATATCATCAGGACTATTATAAGAATAATCCCGCATGTAATTTGCTTAATTATTTTAACCTCATTTGTTCAGCAATGACGATAGTTCACCTTTGCCACTCGGAACTCATCAGTTATGACACACTATTTAAATATTTTGTCATTCAATGTTGGAGGATGTTTATTTTAAAATGAGTCATACTTATCTTAGGATTCGTATCTTAGTCCAATGTTCGAAAATACATATCACTCGTAGGGTTGTCAACTCTTTGGATTTGACCCCTGGATTGTCATGTTTTACATCATGAATATCTCAAGGTCAGAGTGCGTGGTGTGAAGTAGGTTACTGAGATCGTTTAATTTATCTTGTCCAAGAGTCAAAGGTTGACAAGACACAGAACATTCTCCTATTTAATGTTGTTAATGCCTAAGTTTATTAAAATTTGGCAGGCCTATTTGTAGACCGCTAAGATTTGTAACGTTATAACGCATTAAGATTATGATCTAAAATTACAAACAATATTTATGAAACAGACAGACATCTTAAACGTAAACAACTTTGCTTTATAATAAACAAATATTTATAAAAAAAGGTGAGAATGTTGTTAGTTACTAAATGAACTTTAATCGACTGGAATAAAGTTGAAATTGTATCGAAACTGCGAGTTGACATCATCGCGCACCTCTGGTTAATTTGACTGGTATTCGGCGTAGGTGGATAAATATCGACTTGTTAACGGCAAAGTTAAATCAACTTTAAACTTATATATTGTGAGTTTAGAACTATATTATCTTTGCTGCTGCACTTAAATTCGATTTAATTATTTTAACAGTCCCTTAGTGTCAATGACCTCTATAGAAGTAATACGCGTAATTTCATCTTTAGACATCAGATGTCCTTTTCTCTGATTAAATATTCACTAAGGCACGCCCTTAGTGGCGAGTGTGACATGGTATCAAAACGTTTTAAAATGTAGACAATATTATTAACGTTGAAATAATATAAACATGTTTTTGATGGTATGTAGTTTGTTTATCTAATGCAGGCTTTGCTTTAATCCAATTTAGGAATTAGGTCGTTGTCAAGGGCCTGAATTTGTTACATCTACGTGTTTATACAGTATGTCCAATTCATGCAATTAACAAAACTAATCGAGACTATATTTATTGGTATTGTAACTTTCATAACCGTGGCTTATCTCTTTTTTTTAAACAATAAAAAGGATTGCTCAGTGGATACCGTTAGTAATGCATTAAAATTCGTCTCAATCCAATATAAATTAACTTGAAATTATTATTTTAACCTTAATTGACAATCGAATGCAACATCGAGACTATAGTGCCGTATTCATAACGTTAAATATTCATTGAAATATTGTAATTGAAACATACTCTGCGGTTTTAGAAAACCAAATACATATACATAATCTTATACCACAAAATGTTACCAATAAAATATATCTATGACGTAATAGTTATGCACTAAAAACTTGATATTACTGTTTGACTATGAACGTCAGTGGCGCTGTTGTTAAGTATGCGACTATACCGGGAATCTACACCTCCAGGTTCGAGAGGTGCGAGGTCCTTGTCGTGTATTAATCTAATTTTCTATTTTTGAATTTCATGATGTATCTATCCGATGTTTCAACGGTGAAGGAAAACATCTTGATGCAACCTGCACATGTTTGTGAAGCAATTTAAAAATGTGTGTGAAGACAATCCACACTGGGTTATGGTTGACATCCCTAACTCGTGTTGCTCCGAGCCCCGAGACTGGTGATATGGCAACGGACCCGTTGAAATTGTTTTTAAATGTTCTGCTTATTAATAAGCTCTTCCATCACAGATAATTTAAATTCCTATAGCTCCAACTATCGATTGAAATAACATAACAATAATTTATTTTTTAATATAATGTATGTTTAATGAAATGAATCAAAGGTCAACATACAAAATAGTTGGGAGCTTCCAGTAATGTAACGGTTGGTATAGATAATCGTTTCCGGTGTCCGATACACGTAAATACAGTTATCATATTATTTATTCAATTATTCAATGTTATTATAACAATTCGATAAAATAAATTGTTATAATGTTGCTTTAGCATATGTCTCGTGCGAATATGTTTTATTTAGTACTAATAAGCTGTAAATACCGATCCTACGATTAAAAAACATACTGTATATGTGGCGTTGAGGCCCCGCTTCTTGCTTCTGTAAGATTTTATGTTCGTAATTCAGAAACTATGTTCGTGGATTGCAGAAACTTCATTTTATTACAGGATCAAATATTACGTATAAAAATTGTTACAGCTTAACTTATCAATACTATCTTACTTCTTGCTAATCTTACTATCTTATTCATGTTATATTATTTGATGAAATTTGGAAGACATATAGAACATAGTCTGGAAGAACACATAGTCTACTGATTGTGTTTTTCTTTCATTCCGCGCGGAGGGTGTCGCGTGCGCCAGCTAGTTGTATAATAATATCAAGATATACAATAAGTTAACACGGCGTTACGTCATTATATGATTAGGTATTGCTTTAATTATGATAAGTATCGATGAACGTTGATTGTACAGTTTTTTATGTATTCATTGATAACATGACTTAATTACCGCAGTCTAGCGTTGTGGTGTAATAAACTACCGTTTGTGAAGGACAACCGGTAATAACTTGTTCAAGGAATACTAGAAAAAAAAACCTTTTAATATAGAATTTTTAGTTATTAGTTTGTTACACTCCTTTATGGCGGGAGGATTCTAAGTGTACTAATAAATGCGACTGAACGGATCCTGATGAAATTTTATAAAGATGTAGAACATAGTCTGTAAGAACATTTAGGCTACTATTTTATTTTTAGAGGGAGTCGTGTGCGACAGCTAGTTTTGTATAAGAATACCTTATTAAGGTGATTTCTAAGTTAACATTAATCGTTTCTGTGTACGGCACATAGTAAA